TAGAGGACGGTCTACTCTACGCGAAAGGGTGACGTCTGGTTGTGCCAAAGTGGGACGGACTACGACGAGATCTCATGAAGGAGTGCCATGATACCAAGTGGGCAGGCCACCCAGGGCAACGGAGGACGATGGCCTTACTCGAGTCCAACTACTTCTGGCCTCAACTGAAGGACGATGTGGAAGCATATGTGAGGACCTGTCTCGTGTGCCAACAAGACAAGGTCGAAAACAAGCATCCAGCGGGACTACTCGAGCCATTACCGATACCCGCAGGACCATGGGAGTCGATCACGCTAGATTTCATCAGCGCCCTACCACAGTCCGAGGGATACGGGTCAATTATGGTCGTGGTGGATCGATTCTCAAAGTATGGGACCTTTATCCCATGCACTAAGGACTGTATTGCCGAGGAGGCCGCCCGTGGATTTTTCAAGAATGTGGTCAAGCACTGGGGACTACCAAGGAGCATTGTGAGTGATAGAGATCCACGTTTCACTGGGCGACTTTGGACGAAACTTTTCAAGCTCCTAGGTACCGAGCTTAACTTCTCAACAAGCTTCCACCCCTAGACCAACGGGCAAACGGAAAGGGTAAACGCGTTACTAGAGTGCTATCTACGGCACTTTGTAAGCGCTAACCAGAGAGACTGGGCTAAGCTGCTTGATGTGGCCCAATTTTCCTATAACTTGCAGAGGAGTGAATCAACTGGGCGAAGCCCATTTGAGGTGATCACGGGACGACAACCATTGACTCCTCCCACAATTGCCCTACCTACAAAGGATGGGAAGAGTCCCGGGGCAGAAAAGATGATCAAAACTTGGGAGGAACAGACAGACTTAGCACGCTCATACTTGGAGAGGGCCCGTAAAAGAATGGAGAAATGGGCCGATGCAAAGAGGCATCCGCGAGAGTTCTCCCAAGGCGACCTAGTCTTTGTGAAGCTATTACCTCAACAATTCAAGACCTTTCGAAGCTTGCACAAGGGACTAGTACGAAGATATGAGGGACCGTTCCTGGTGATCAAGAAGATAGGGAATGTTGCTTACCGGGTCAATCTCCCACCAACACTTAAGATTCATCCAGTCTTCCACGTGAGCATGTTAAAACCTTATAAGAAGGATGTGGAAGACCCAAGCCGAGGGCAATCACGGAGAGCACCGCCCCTTACAACCAAGTCTTTCGACCAGGAAGTGGATGAGGTGCTCACTTCAGATATTGTAAGGAGACGAGGGGTATCACCAAAGAAGTGGTACTTAATCAAGTGGAAGGGGCTCCCAGTGTCCGAAGCATCATGGAAATTCGAGGAGGACCTATGGCAATTTCGTGACATCCTTGAAGATTATGAGGCGACGAGGACGACGCCACAATAGGTGGGGGAGAATGTAACGCCCCACATCACTCCCCGCACGCACACGAGCAAGAACGAGTTTTGCCCGTCTTTTTTTTTCGCACTAAGCCTAGTTACTTGTATATGGAAGCCTTTAGAAAGGCCTAGACTTGACTGGAAGCTTCTAGAAGGCTCCAGAATTATGTAGATATTTGTATAAGGGACAAGAACATCCTAGAACCTTGTAGAGACTTGTAGAAAGGGCAAGAATCATCTTGAGTTGTGTAGAAGGTTCTAGGACATGTGTAGAAAGAGTATGATTTGTGTGGAAGGGTCTAGAAAGACCAAGACCCTTGTAGGATCTAGAGACTTCCTTAGAGTGGGTGGTGCCTATAAATAGAGGAGGTCCCCTCATTTGCAAATCATCCAAGCTTTGAGAGCTCACTTGTACTAGAGTTTGAGTAATAGAATCATTTTTCCTTCAAGTTCTCTTTTCTCGCTTTCTTTAGCCAAAGCACTTGCACACACCGAATACGATCCCGAGTGAGGTGAGGCTGACTTAGCTAGTTGCGAAGGGCGCACGAGAGGCTAAGGCCGCACGCAACCAAGTTCGAGAAACAAGGGCGTGACAGCAAGCTCAAGTTGCATCTCCACTTGTCCCATGTTTGGTCGTTCCGTTCCTTGTTTATGCAAACACCTCTCAGTACTGTCTAAAACACAAGAAGCTCAATATTCTATTGGCCCAATCTATTTTCCATTCTTCAGCATTCTCTTAACTTTTTTTCTGTAAATATCAGTACATTCTAGAATATATTAGATGTATTTCGTAGCAATATTTCTTTAATTCTTTATTTGTCTTTTCTATTGTCCTTGTTGGTGATCACCCAAGGTCATATCTTGTATATATATTACCCACATTGAGATATTCAATACAACAGAATATTACATCTTTTTTTTCTTTGTCCTGCACGTCTTTCCTTTTTCCCTTTACGGTATTAGAGCTCCACCTGGAGCTCTGCTGATATCCCCTTCCTACTGCCATGGCAGAGTCCCTTAACAGTGACCATGTCTCAGACCCACCTCCTTCTAATCCTTTTAATGATCCTAGCCAAAACCCATATAGTCCTCTCTACATACACCCTAGTGAAAACCCTTCCTCTATCTTAGTCTCTCCTGTCCTCTCTGATGGTAACTACCACTCTTGGTCTCGTTCATTTCGTATGGCACTCACCTCTAAGAACAAAATCGGATTCCTCACTGGTACTATTCCTATCCCTACCCCGGATGATCTCATCTATTCTTCATGGGAGCGTTGCAATACCTTGTTAATGTCTTGGCTCATAAATTATGTTTCCCCTTCGATTGCGCAAAGTATCATTTATTTGGATCGTGCTATTGATGTTTGGAATGATCTACGAGAACGCTTTTCTCAAAGCGACCTTCTATGTATTGCAGAGCTCCAAGAGAAGATTTATGCACAGAAGCAAGACTCCTTTTCTGTTACTGATTTCTTTACTAATCTGAAAGCCTCTTGGGAAAAGCTTGACAATTTCCGTCCTCTTGCACCCTGTAATTGTCAAGCTCACCTTTACCATCAACATGACTTTATCATTCGATTTCTCAAAGGCCTTGATGATAGATTTCATGTTGTTCGATCTCAAATCTTGTTAATGGATCCTCTGCCATCTGTTAACAGGGTTTTTTCCATGGTAATTCAGAATGAGCGACAACATACAGTTGTTGCTTCACCTCTTGATGTGCCCAATGAATTTGCAAATAATGTTGATTCTAAGTTTCATTCTTTGGTTAATGCCACTGACACACGTTCCTCTGGAAAAAACCACACTGGTGACCGAATCCAACAATCCAAATATTCAAAAGTATGTGTGTATTGTAAGAAGACAGGACACACTATTGACACTTGCTATATCAAACATGGTTATCCTCCTGGGAACCCTCGATACCCAGGTTGTCTGCGTTTTCACAACCCAAATGGTGGTTATTCTTCTAATTCTTCATCTGTCAACTACGTCGTTACCATTGATGATCAAGCCTCTCTGCAACAACATTCTATGGGGCAACAACATGGATCGGGTCTGAATTTTACTCAAGCCCAATATCAACACTTATTGTCTCTACTTCAACAGGCCTCGGGTGTTTCCAATAGCAGTAAACCTCAGCCTTCGGTCAGCCTCATCCAAAAAGGCCCAAATAATTTTTTTGGGCCCAGTGGTAACATGTCCTTTATCTCTTCCATCATCAATTCTCATGTTCTTTCCTTTAATTCATTAAATAATTCCTTTTCTTGGATTGTTGAGTATGGAACCACTGACCACATTAGTTGCTCTCTCCAAAATTTTCAAGTGTTTTCTAAAATAAAATCCATTACTATTCATTTACCCAATAGCTCTATAGTCACTTCTCATTATTCTGGCACTGTCCATTTTGCTTCAGATTTTATAATTCATAACGTACTTTATGTCCTAAATTTTAGTTTTAATTTTTTCTTCATTTCAAAGTTTCTCTCAAGTCACAATCATAAATTAACCTTTTCGGGCCTTTTTTTGCCAAATACAAGAAGTGAGCACAATGAGGATGGTTGATTTAGCTAAGTTACAACAAGGTCTCTATCACCTAGTTACTTAAGATAATTCCAACATCACTCCTCATATCTCCTCAGTCAACCATCTTTCCCTCTTTACCATCAACAATAACAACCTTTGGTATTTTCGTTTAGGACACTTGTCAAACATAAGACTCAATATTTTACATGAACAATTTCCTTTTATTCAAAGAATACTAATGAACCATGTGACATTTGTCACTTAGCTAAACAAAAGCAATTGTCATATTCTGTTAGTTAGCTAAACAAAAGCAATTGTCATATTCTGTTAGTGATAGTAAAGCTTCAAAAATATTTGACCTCATTCACATGGATATTTGAGGCCCATTTCTAAAGTTTCTATTCATGGCTATAAATATTTTCTAACAATTATTGATGATTTTAGTAGATTTACTTGGATTGTTTTGTTAAAAACAAAGGCGGATGTCCAAATAAATGTTCAAAACTTCATTGCCTTAGTTGAAACACAATTTGACTCCAAAGTAAAAATACTTCATTCTGACAATGGTCCTGAATTTTCCTTAAAGAAATTTTATGCCTCTAAAGGTATTATTCACCAAACAAGTTATCTTTACACACCTCAACAAAATGGAAGAGTTGAGCATAAACACCAACACATTCTTAATGTTATCCGTGCTCTTATGTTTCAATCTGAGATTCTAAATGATTTTTGGTCCTATGCCATTAAACATGTTGTTTTTCTCATAAATCGGGTTCCCTCATCCATTATAAAAAATAAAACACCTTTTGAATTATTGTTTCATCAAAAACTAGATTTTTGCATTATCAAAGTTTTTGGATCCCTTTGTTATGCTTCCACTCATCATCCTCGCAAGAAATTTGATCCACGATCGTGGTATTTTTCTAGGTTTTCATAATGGAACAAAAGGGTACATTATTTTGGATTTAGATTCCAAAGAATTTTTTTTGTCAAGAAATGTCATTTCATAAGGTCATCCTCCCTTTCAAGAAGCCCAATATTGTGTCTCCTAACACCACACCACCTCTTCCTGCAACACCATCCGTCCCCTTTTTTAAATGTAGCGACCCTCATACATACCCAATTTTCTTAGATCCCTTACCTTCTTGGCCCAATCCATATACCCCATATGATAATTTCCCAGCACTAAATATGTCATCTCCTCTGTCCTCATCCAACCCGACATCACCCACCACACATCCCACCTCACCTAGTTTATCCACGACTAGCAATAATGACCCAATCCATTCTCCCACTTCGTCGTTCCACTCGCATCCCTCAACCATCCACTCGTCTTCGTGACTTTATCTGCAGCACCTTTAGTACTTCACCAGATCAGCCATCCTCCAAGTGTGTACATCCCATTCAACAGGTAATTTCTTATTCTCAGTTACCTCCTTCTGATCACAAATTTGTCATGTCCCTTTTCTCTGAGATTAAACCCACTGCTTACAAAGAGGCTGCTCAAACCCCTATTGGATTGAGGCAATGAAAGTTGAAATTGATGCTCTGAATCTAAATTAGACCTGGGACATTATTGTAACTCCTCCTAATGTTAAACCCATTAGATGTAAATGGGTTTACAAAATCAAGCGCAAAGCTGATGACACTATTGAACGCTACAAAGCGCGGCTTGTTGCAAAAGGGTTTTCTCAAATTGAAGGTATTGATTACATAGAGATCTTCTCCCCTGTGGCAAAGATGACCACCATTCGTGTTATCCTGGCTTTGGCTTCAGTCAATCGATGGCATTTGCAGCAATTAGATATTAACAATGCCTTCTTGTATAGTGATTTAACCGAAGATGTTTACATGACCATCCCTCTTGGCATTCATGGCTATTCTAGTTCACATTACTGCAAACTTCGCAAATCTCTATACGGCCTTAAGCAAGCTAGTCGTCGTTGGTATGAGAAACTTTCTCTTCTTCTTTTGTCTTGTGGATATCAGCAGGCACAGGGAGATCATAGCCTTTTTACCAAACATAATGGCACTGATTTTACAGCTTTGATAGTGTATGTTGATGATATAGTCTTAGCTGGTAATTGTTTACGTGAAATTGACACTGTTAAGCAGATCCTAAATTCTAATTTTCACATCAAGGATTTAGGGCCTCTTAAGTATTTATTGGGTTTGGAAGTGAATATCTCAGATGTTGGAATTTTTGTTTGTCAACAAAAGTATTTCTTAGATTTGTTGTCTGATTTCGGTATTTTGGGGTGTAAATCATCTATCACTCCAATGGATTACTCCCTCCGTCTTCACAAAGATTCCAGCACACCACTGTCTGATCCTCTTTCTTATAGACGGCTGATTGGTCGATTATTATATCTCACAAACACGCACCCAGATATTACTTTTCCTGTCCAGCAATTAAGTCAATTTATGGCTAGCCCAACCCAATCTCATCTCCAGGTTGCCATGCGTGTTCTTAAATATCTTAAAGGTTGTCCTAGCAAAGGTCTTATGTTTAAATGTGATTCTCCAGTTCATGTTTTGGGTTTCAGTGATGCAGATTGGGCTACCTGCATTGATTCTCGTCGATCAGTTACAAGATATTGCCTCTTCATTGGCAGCTCTTTGGTCTCTTGGAAAACCAAGAAACAACACACAGTTTCCAGATCTTCTTCCGAAGCTGAGTATAGGGCACTCGCTTCCATTACGTGTGAGTTACAATGGATTGTTTATTTACTATCTGATTTAGGGATTTCCTGTTCAAGGTAACCAATCCCGAATTGTGATAATCAAAGCGCGCTTCATATTGCTTCTAATCCAGTCTTCCACGAGCGCACCAAGCATTTGGAAATTGATTGTCATCTTGTCTGCGAAAAAGTTCAATCAGGTCTTATGCGATTGCTACCTGTTTCTTCCTCCAACCAGCTTGCTCACATGTTTACCAAAGCTCTTCCTCCTCGCCTATTCACTGCCAATTTATCCAAGCTGAAGTTGCTTGACATTCATACACCTTCAGCTTGTGGGGGGTAAAACAGAAGAAGCCCAATATTCTATTGGCCCAGTCTATTTCCCATTCTTCAGCATAATCTTAACTTTCTTTGTCATAAATATCAGTACATTCTAGAATATATTAGATGTATTTCGTAGCAATATTTCTTTAATTCTTTATTTATCATTTTGTCTTTTATGTTGTCCTTGTTGGTGATCACCCAAGGTCATATCTTGTATATATATTACCCATATTGAGATATTCAATACAACAGAATATTATATCTTTTTTTTCTTTGTCCTGCACGTCTTTCCTTTTTCCCTTTAATATCAATGAACGTTTTCCAACAATCTGGAGCAATTTTATACTTAAGGAACGGATCAACTATTTTTTCTGCATGCAACTCCACTGAATAATTCGGGTTATTCATACATTCCAAATACAAATCTCGTGCTTCCTTTGCACTCACAACTTCCAACAGAACCACACCAAACGAAAACACATTTGATTTCACAGTCAAGATGCCACATGCTGCATACTCAGGATCACAATATGCGAAAGTATCATGGTTTCTAGCAACAAGAGATGAGCTTGCAACATCAATAGCTCCCCTTTTGGACAACAATAAACCACAAATTTTAGGCTCCCAGTTTTTATCCAAAAGGATGTTTTGTGTTTTGAAAAAATTGTATATCACTGAACACCTGACTCCTGTGTGTAGATAGTGCAATCCACGTGCCACACCAATGCAAATTTGAAGCCTTCTTTTCCAAAAAAGTGGAACCATTTTGTGGTTGTTTGTGTGATGAAGATGATCACTGAGGGAACCGTGAAACATGTATTCATGTACAAGAATCAGATGGGGGAATCTTTAGATGCAAAATCCAATTAAAGGCATCATGTTGGAGTGGTCGAGTTAACAAAGGAAGAAAACCTCGTTCTTCAACTGTGATTCTGAGAGACAAGAAAGAGAACCTTGTTGAACCAAGGTAAAATTAATATTAAGTAAATTAGTTTTAAAAGGTTTATTAGAATGTTTTGAGATAGTTGATGTTTTAGGTGATTATTGTTTTAATTCTTAATTATTATGGGATCTTTTGGTTTCTAGAGAGTAAATATTTTAGTGAAAGAGAGAGTTTCAAGAAGTGCTTAACTACGCACTTATAATTCTCATTTGAGATATAACAGAAAATAATAATATTCAATTTTCATAAAAAATTTTTATCAAATTGGTATGAAAACTGAGGGTTTAATGTTTAGTGTTTAAAAAAATGAGATGGACAAATATTGTTGTATCTCGACTAACGAAGGACATCAATTATAATAGTTAGAGTGTTCAGATGAAAGTTTTTCTCAAAGTCCGAAGTTATTGGGAAGTAATAGAGGTAAGTTTCTCAATGTCAGATGTTTAGTTTTGAAGGACATCAGAAGAATTGACGGTCAATGCACACAGAGAGTTGGACAAAAATCGTGAGAAAAATAGTACAACTTTGTTCACATTATTTCGAGCGGTAGAAGATACCGATTTCTAGATGATTACAGATGTTAAATCTATAAAAGAAGCGTGAATGACGCTGGAGACAACATACATGGGCGATGATCGAATCAAATATGTTCGATTACAGACCATGTATGGTGAGTTTAAAAGCATGAAAATGAAAGACTCAGAAAAAGTTTCTAAGTATATCACTTGTGTCCAAATAGTGGTGAATGAACTCAATCAGGATGGAGAGGTGATCTCTGAAAATCGGGTTGTGCGAAAAATCTTAAGATCGTTGAATAACAATTTTGAGAACAAAGTTTGTGCCATAGAAAAGTCTTGGAATTTGTCTGAACTCATGCTTCAGGAATTAGCTAGTTCACTTGGATCCCATGAGTATCGGATGAAGAAGATGAAGGAAGAGACGATTGTACAAGTGTTGAAGACCGAATCAAAAGAGGAGAAGACACTATATTCCCAGAATAATAAAGGACGAGGAAGAGATTGTGGTAGTTAGTCTCGAGGTGGTCGATCTAGCTGATATGGACAAGGTGGTTGAGGTGACCAGAAGGAAGAGGGGACTCAACAAAATTAGCAAAGAATAAGTCGTGGACCGAGAGAATGTCGGTCAACAAACCACTCAAATGTCGAGTGTTTCAAGTGTGGCAAGAATAGTCACTATGTGAAGGACTGTTATTTGAGACAATGTTTTAACTGTGAAAAGGAGGAGCATTTTGCCAAAGAATTCTAGAAGAGGGGTGAGACTTATCTCACAAAAGGACAAGAAGAACCAATGCTCATGATGATTGATCTACATTTGGTCATTCACTTGAGAGTTGATTATAGTGATGGAGTTCAGGAAGATACCGATCACAAGTCGATATGGTATTTGGATATAGGCAGTAAGTAATCACATGTGTGGTGATGAACGTCTTTTCAAAGAGTTAAAGAAGATGAATGTTGGGATTGTTTGTTTGGAGACGCTTCGAGAATCTCGGTAAAAGGTCGAGGCACAATCGACTATTTACAGAAGGATGGACTGGTGGGAACGATCCAAGATGTGTATTTTGTTCCTGGTCTCAAAAGTAACATTTTGAGTATGATACAATTGATGGAGAAGGGGTACATAGTTTTCAAAGTGCTTTAGTTGAGGGACAAACTTGAAAGACATATTGCTCGGGTTGAGATGGAGAAGAACCAGATGTATAAGTTGCAATTGAAAGGTATTCGGGAGAAGTGTCTGAAGCATGACGTGGAAGACATGTTGATTTGGCATCATCAGTTTGGCCACTTGAGTTTTAGAGGGCTAGCCGAACTGTCAAATAAGAGTATGGTTCTCAGACTACCAAACATGAAGAATGAAAAAATATTTTGCAAAGAATCTATAATTGGAAAGTTGGTGATGACACCTGAGGAGTGTCGAGTATCAAGCAAATAAACAACTTGAGTTGATTCATACTGATCTATGTGGACCGGTTACCCCTGAGTCATTCAATGGTAAGAAATATTTCATATTTGTTGATGACTTCTTCAGAAAAACGTGGGTGTACTTGCTAAAAGAGAAATCTAAAGTGTTTAAAGTGTTTAAAAAGTTTAAGATGATGATTGGGAATATGACCAGTTGGTATATCCAATCAGTTCGATCTGATAGAGGAGAAAAATTTATGTCAGATGTTTTTATGAAGTACTGTGAAGATGAAGGAATAAGGAAATTCCTAACAGCCTTATGCTCACCACAACAAAATGGTGTGGCTGAGAGAAAGAACTAAATGGTTCTTGACATGCTCCGATCTATGTTTTGGGTTAAGGCGGTACAATGTGTAATCTACGTGTAGAATAAGTGTCCTCATGTAAAGCTAGATGGTATAACACCACAAGAGGCATGGAGCTGTCAAAAACCGACTATGTCTCATCTCAAAGTGTTCAGAAGTTTGGCTTATGAAGTAGTTTCGTCTCAACAACGGACTAAGCTTGAAGATAAGGGTAAGAAGTACGTGTGCATCGGTTATGTTGAAGTATCAAAAGCTTATAAGTTGTTGGATCCAATAAAGAAAAATATAGTAGTAAGTCGAGATGTTCAATTTGATGAAGCAAGTGAGTGGGACTGGGGAGAATCGCAAGGATACCGATCTAAATGTCCAATCATTGACACTTGTAGAAGCAAGTTTAGAATAAGATCGAGCTATTGTACCATCAGCACCACCTATTAGCAGCTTAGAAGACGAAGAGGAGCATGAATCACGATAAAAAATGAGGAGCTTGAGAAACTTATATGATTCAACTAATGAGGTACATGTTGTTTGTCTTTTAGCAAATTCTGAGGACATCAAGTTTGAGGAGGTTGTACGAGATGAGAAGTGATGAGCTGCCATGGATGATAAAATCCAAGTCATAGATTGGAATGATACTTGGAAAAGCTCAATCCACCAAGTTGCCGAACTATGCTCGGCCTATTGGCGTGAAGTGGGTGTACAAGAAAAAGCTCAATCCACCAAGAGAGGTTGAGAGATACAAGACTTAACAAATGGTCGATCATGTAAATAGATGTCAAGTCAGCATTCTTGAATAGTATGCTCAAGGAGAAGGTGTATATTAAGCAACTACAAGATGAAAAGTGGTGAGCTACCATGGATGATAAAATCCAAGTCATAGATCAGAATGATACTTGGAAAAGCTCAATCCACCAAGTTGTCGAACTATGCTCGGCCTATTGGCGTGAAGTGGGTGTACAAGAAAAAGCTCAATCCACCAAGAGAGGTGGAGAGATACAAGACTTAACAAATGGTCGATCATGTAGATAGATGTCAAGTCGGCATTCTTGAATAGTATGCTCAAGGAGAAGATGTATATTAAGCAACTACGAGATGAGAAGTGGTGAGCTACCATGGATGATAAAATCCAAGTCATAGATCGGAATGATACTTGGAAAAACTCAATCCACTAAGTTGTAGAACTATGCTCGGCCTATTGGCGTGAAGTGGGTGTACAAGAAAAAGCTCAATCCACCAAGAGAGGTGAAGAGATACAAGACTTAACAAATGGTCAATCATTATGGGTTAAATCAAGCTCCTTGGATAGGTACTCATTGACAAGATTCGAATCCAGTACCTTAGAGTTGAAGATTGATACTCTAACCACTAAGCTACTAGAATTTTTTTATAATAATTTATAAATAAATTATATTTATATACAAATAAATGTATATCCATGTAAATATATAAATACAATATATTTATATATTTATATATTTTGATATATTTATATATATTTAAATATTTATTTTTTAAAATTATTTAATTTAATAAATTATTATAAATTAATCTAATTATGATTAAATTAAACTATTAAATAAAAAATATTTAATTTTTTAATCAGGTGAATAATTAATTTATTAGAATATATTAAGTAATTATTATATAATTTTACCAACGGATATATCCGTCGGTAACTAATTGTTAATTGTAAATAACTGTTAATTTACCGATAAATTTACCGACAGATATATCCGTCAGTAATTAATTGTTAATTTACCGATAGATATATTCGTCGGTAACTAATTATTAATTTAACGATGGATATATCTATCGGTAAGACCAAATTCCACAAATGTTTTATATCCGTCGGTAATGACTTATTTTTTGACGACTATAAATCCGTCGGTCAAAATTCGTCGGAAATATACGATTTTCTTGTAGTGCTATGAACATGCTTTGTATGTAAAGAAGAAAGGAGGTAATGTGATGTTTGTTGTACTATATGTTGATAACCTCATTTTTATGGGAAATAATCCTGGAATAATTCAAGAATTCAAGTGCGCAATGACAATTGAATTTGAGGTGATAAATCTTGGTATGATGAAGTTTTTTCTTGGCCTGAAAATAAGATAAGAGAAGTTGGAGATATTTGTGTCTCAAGAGGCATATGCAAAGGAGATCCTGAACAAGTTTAAGATGACCGATTGTAATTCAGTATCAACCATCATGGAACCAAGAACGAAGCTTTCAAAATTTGACCGAGTTGATCCGAGTATATATCAGAGCTTAGTTGGAAGTCTTCGTTACCTGACATGTACTAGACCCGATTTGTTGCTGAGTGTCAAGATTGTTAGTCAGCTCATGGAAAATCTAAGCTACTCTCATTGGAAAACAATGAAGAGAATTTTGATGTATATCTGAGGTATCTTGTGTCTCGGACTATGGTACACAAGGTTGAATAATTACCGATTGTCGGGTATTAGGAGTAGAGATGTAGATGATCGAAAAAATACATTAGGGTATGTATTTTTCATGGGTAACATAACGTTTACC